ATGTGTATTTTCACCAAAAAAAAAAAAGGTTGAGAATTTAGAGGGTTAATATGTTGTGGGGTTGTTAACCAATGTCATAAAACAACATGTGTACTCTGTTTCATGAGAAACTATTTGCTCTGTAAGCCTTCGCCTGAAGTACAATAAAATAAAAAAACAAAAAAACAAACGCCTAAGTTCAGAAGTGACCCGAGGATTTGTGTGTGCTGCACGGGCAATAAACAGACCATACTTATTCTTCCTTCAAGGAATTCTGGAATGTCAACTCACTGGGTGGGACTGCCTCTGGTTAACATTCTCACTTGCAAACTTAGCTGGAGACCAAGTGTGAGGAGAAAAATTACAAAAACAAAATAGTACAAGCAACACAGGGAAATGGAGAATGATAACCTCTTACGCAGGTGGAACTGTCATGAAGTCATTAACAGGTGGGTGGCTGAGGCGACAAAAATTCTGCTTTACTAATGAAAAGCTCGGGCCATGCTAATAGCTGTCCGGTATCCTGACTCATTCAGATAGAAGCAGAGAACCCAAATGGATAAGGAGAGCTGTTTTTTAATGGTATTTACTTGCATAGCTGACATTCTTTTTAGCCCTATTTTTAAAGCTCAGAACCAGGGTGCAGCAAATGTGTGAGAACACAGTAGGGGCTGGTCTCCCTCGCGCTCTCGTCCTCTTGGCTCAGATCGTGGGCTGGTCACTGACCCTCAGTATTCCTCCAGGCCAGGGTCCAGCAAAGCGGAGGGGCCGGAGTCACTCTTGCCCTGGCAGATGGTAAACTCTGACAGGAGAAAGTGAACTGGAGCCACCCATACTACCTTTGATGAGTCTAAGCTGGAGAGACACTACTTTCAACTGGAAGGCAAACATAGGCACTGCTTACACAAACATTCCACATCCATCTTTGCTCGCGACACTTCATTGAACACTGACCCAGCACCTTTTCTGTGCCTGGCCCATTGTTAGATGCTGAAGACACACACAAACAAAATAAAATCGCTCTGGTCCTCTAAAACTCCTCACAGGCTGCCATTTTAGTTGGGGGCAGGGAGACAACAACTAAATAAACTAACATATTTCAGATGGTGGCTGAAACACACGATTCCTAACAAATATTCAGGAATGAGAAGGAATGCTGTAAGAAAATATGCCAATATTTTTCATCCCTGAACTTCCGTATCTCTCTGGGCCCAGGGTCTCCTTTTGTGTAAGGGTTAAAGCAGATAATTGCTAAATTCCTTTCTAACTAAAAAGTCATATGCTGCTGTGCTTTAAGAGAAACATTTTATGCCGACCTGGACCACTCCCATTAAATAGTTCAAAAGTTTTGACTTAAAGTAAAAATGCCATAAGGAGAGAGGAAAAACAGCTAACTAGTGGAAGTTATGTACAGCACAGAAGTTCTCTAAAACCAATACAAACATGGACAAAGAACATGAACACCCACTAAAAGACAAGAAACGCAAATTTCCAATGCAATTATCAAAAAAATATTTATTAGATACCCTTGCATGCACTAGATCTCAGTTCCTAATACAATCTGATGTATAACAGGTGCTCAATAAATATCTGTTGAACAACTGAACTCAATCTCACCAACAAAGAGCCAATTAAAATATTCAAATCTCTCAACACTGTGCAAAGTTGAAAGCAATGGTATTACCTACTTGTGGTAAAGACACACTGACTGTGGAAATCTGTATTACCTTTCTGGAAGGCAGTTAACAAAGTGCCTACCTTTTGCCTAACAGGTCCATTTCAATATCTGGTAATTTATCCAAAGGAATAATCAGACAAGTGCCTAACAATACATGTATAAAAAACCAGAGTGTAGTAAATCTGTGAGAATAAAGTAGGGGCTAGTATAAAAATGTAAATATAACAGTGAGAAACAAAAAACTAATCTAGGTGACCAACAATAGGGAACTGGTTAAAAGAGATATGGTATATCATTCCAACTGAATACTATATAGCTATTTGAAGTAATTTGGATATATATTTAGGACAAGAAAAGTTACTGATGATTATTATTAAGTTACAAAAGCAAGCTACCCAGCAATTCCACTTCTAGTTACCTACCCAAGAGGACTGAAACGTATGTCCACACAAAAACTTGTACATGCATGTTCACAGAGGCATTATTCATAATAACTAAAAACAGGAAGCAGCCCAAATGTCCATCAACTGATAAATGGATAAACAAAATGTGGTACCCGTACAACAGAATAGTATTCAGCCATAAAAAGGAATGAAGTTCTGACAGATGCTACAACACGGATGAACCTTGAAAACACTATGCTAAGTGAAAGAAACCAGTCACAAAAGGCCATACAGTATATGATTCTATGTATATAAAATGCCCGGAAGAAGCCCGTCGATAGAGACAGAAATTAGATTAATGGCTGGCTTCGGTTGGTAGAGTAGAGGGTCAATGAAAAAAAGGAAGACCCTCAATGAGATGGACTGACACACTGGCTACAACCATGGGCTCAAACATAGTAACAACCGTGAGGATGTCGCAGGACTAGGCAGTGCTTTGTTCTACTGTATATAGGGTCTCTATGAGTCGGAACCGACTTGATGGTACCTAACAACAAATGGCTGGGACAGCCGGGGGAAAATAAGTGACTGCTAAGGGTATCAGGTTTCTTTTTGGGCAACGAAAATGTTCTAGAATTAGATGGTGGTGATGGTTTACTAGAAACCACTGAACTGTACACTTTAAAAGGGTGAATTTTATGGTATGTGAATTATACTCAATAAAAATAAGAAGATAATGAAAAAGTTTAAAAAGCAAGTTACAAACCATATGTAAAATAAAAATGTGTATGTAGCACAGAAGTAATATGTAAGATATATCAAAAACATGTTAATACTGGTTAGATTACAGGTGAAAAAGCCTTCTATTTTTCAGCGCTTTCAGAATTTTTTTCTAGTGAAAATGAATTGCCCTGATGTAAAAATTAAAGCTCTTTCTCTGTTTAGGGTAAAAGTAAGAAAGCAAATACCTGGGCTGGAGTGTTTGCAGTCACAGGAGACGGCGATTCACTAACTTTTGGCTCACTTGGGGATGCGGCTGACCCCTGCGACTCCTGGCTCGCTGGCTGGTCCGGAGACAAAGCATCGCTGCTGTCTTCGTCAAATGAGAAGTCGCCCTGAGTTTGGGGATCGTCCTCCTTTCCAACACCTGCAGGAAGAAATGACTCTTAACTTGTCTGGGCCTTGGAATACCAAACTTAAAATGGAAATGGAGAACCACTGTTTGCTGTAAGAACTTAAGAAGTTGGTTTAAAGAAACCCCAAACATGTTACTGAACATTACGTATCTGCCAATGGAAAAACACACTACCACTAGGATGCACTCTTTAAAAACAAAAAAAAATTAACCCTGAATCTGCTTAAGACTCTGAATCCAACTGCCAGTTATTAAAGTACAAGAGATGGAGCGATGTTTTTAATGACAAATGGGGATGCAAAGGCCATCATAAAATCTGAAACATGGGAAATGCTAGAGGACACAAGCCTGCTTCAACAACAACTAAACAGTAAGAAAGAAAAAGGGGGGTGTGGGGAGAGGCACACCCAATAGATTAAGACTTAAGGGACATATCAACCAAAGGAATATGTGGGCCTTGTCTGGGTCCTGAATCAGGACTCATCTGTTAAAAACCATATGAAGCAATCAGGAAATGGGACCATGATGGGGTATCTGTGGATAAGTTTCCACTTTGAGGACCAGCCTAGCCATAATCACATCTTAGCTTTTGGGGCCCATCTGTTTGGGACTGAATGAAATCACGGTCGACTGTCCTACTTAGAATGCTGAATACAAATTGTCTAAGATATAAATTCATGTTAGCACAAAATATGAAGTTCCCATGAGTAACAGAAACTATTATTAGTTTTCAAAATAGGATATTAAGTTTTCCAAATTAGCTTGCTGAATAAATAGCAATATTCTTGACATTACTTTTTTTCTGCTAAAGTTTATGCCAGGAAAACAAAAATGATCAGGAAGAAGAAACAGACATTGGTAATTAAGTACGATAAGACTATGATAAAATGAACAGTATTAGCATTCTTAATGAGTACTTCTATATTCATCTGCTATTCACCTTCCTGAACTAACACTGAACAAGCTATTTTTCTTTATCTTCCTAAAGGTAGAAAAATAAAGTAATGAAAAGTCTGTAAAAATATTAAACAAAAATTAAGCAGTATAAATACAATGCCTTAGAAAACATGATAATGAAATAGAACGTAAGACTTAAACCTCAAATGTAACCAGGGGAATCTTTGTATCAATTAAGGTAACTGATGCTAATCTTACAACATGTAACATCATATCAACAATAACAATAACCACAGTGAGAATTGCTGTTAATCAATTTCTAATTAACCCAGAAAAGAATATTCATGATTGATGTTAGCTCTGCATTTCATTAATTTGCTTTGTCTAATCTCCCAAGTTTCAAATACTCTTTGTCACAGAAAACAGTAAATTTTTAGAGTCTTGCCTATAATTGCTTCCTTAACACTGGAGTCTACAGGAAGGATGTTTTTCTCTACCAGCTCCATAGGACCAGGTCTTTGAGCAATCTTTTCATTCAGATCATCGGCTAGTCGAGCTCTTTTCAGCTTCATCTGAGTAGCCTGTAGGGATGGCTCTGCAAATGTTTCTAAAAAAGGAAACAGAATTTTAACCATTACTTGAATAACTATTTCTAAATGTTATTTCAGGCTGACTAATTTAACATATTTATGTGTTCTCAACATATTTATGGAGGAGAAAATGACTATTTAAGAATGTTCCAGGACACATTTTATATTTTTAGTCCCTGGATAGCTTTATACTGTCTGTACAATATGGATATCCACAGACTCAATTATCAAGAACTTAGCCCAAAATGGGGTACTGTTCTTGTTCATTTACGGTGGAAGTCAAATTCACATTTACTAGTATCGGGGATGGAGCCCTGATGGCGCAGTGTTTAAGAGCTTGGCTGTTAACCAAAAGGTCGGCAGTTTGAATCCACCAGCCACTCCTTGGAAACTCTACGGGGCAGTTCTCCTCTGTTCTATAGGGTCTTAACTGACTTGACTGCAACGGGTTTAGGTTTTGGGGATACTACTGATGAACAAGACAGATGTGGTCACTGGCTCAAGAAGTTTACAGCTTTAGACTTGGTTTCCCTGAAAAGTCAATTCCTAGGAGTGCAGATATTGTATCTTAGGCTATAAGCTTCTCTGCAGGGTCAACGGGAAGAGCTATAACTCACATTTTTGGATTGAGCCCTGTGCATTTCAGAATTGATCATCATAATTAAGTATCTGGATGTATTTCTGAATAAATCAACTTGTGTCTGTTAGGAACATTCGATTATATAGCAATGGTTATATAGTAGCATTAAATCATCTGCTTACAAATGCATAAAACTGGTACAACAGACGTGAAACTACTATAAATACCAAAATTCATCCACTTGTTTCATTCTGTCAATTACTTGTGTTTCTGGTAACTTACACTAACATTTGTTTCCATTGCTCTAAGTAATGATTATAATTTATTTTAAAAAATAACGATAAGGTGTCAAGCCAAAATTCCGATTTGAAAACTGCTTGCCTCTTAAATTATACAGTAGAAGGTCTTTTGAGGAACTTGCCCTTAAGTAATCTCGGCATTAACTGATTCTCTCCATTTTTGAGGGAAAGTGTCCTGCCTGAAGCCAGGCTCACTGAGTGCTCAGGGCCATCAACCACTCTCCAGCACACCTGTGCACTTCTCCTTCCACCAGCTGAGGGTATGCTTACCAAAAGTCAACCCTGAGTGTCCACAAAATAGGTCATATCTGTTGTAACTGCTATCGTCTTTGCGTGATTTAACTAAATGTTACAGGAAAATGACAAATTACAAAAGTAAAATTATTTCTTGGAAACTTAGGCTGAATGCTTTGGAAAGAACAAAGGTGAGTCATTAAAAAAATAGCTGTCAAATTAGAGCAAGACAACTGTAAGAGATCTGGGAAAATGATGGCAAAATCTAAGATCTTAGAACTCAGATTGCTTTTCAAGCGTCTTTACGTTTTTGCTTTATGGTAAGTGGAAACTGCAGATGAGGCACGATTGTGGTTTATGCAAGAATGATGACGTGAACTTCATCCATTGAAGTCATCCATAAAGAGAAGGCCCTAGCCCTATATTGGAATATTTGAAATAAATGCACACTTCTGTGCTATAAATTAAAATAAAATGCGTGCCCCTATTGTCATAATCTTCCTGTAGAAAAAACTATGGCCCTAGTCTTGCTAGTATCTTGTTCTAATCATACAGGGAGATGACAGGTGAGGAGAATCAGATTATCCAAATCACGCTTAGGTTGATTTTTAAATGCTTTTTTTAAGATCCAGGTAGACAGCCTTCTGCCTTTTTTCCCTCTCCCATTAACTCCATCCAAGTGATAGCAGGAATATGTTTGGAAAAGAAAATACTCCACAAGTAAATAATCAGAGCCTGGCATTTTGGTACGTTTTTGCTCCTAGTCTTATTATCCTCCCATCTCCAAGAGGCTGCGGCTGGATTTTAGCCACTGAACTTCAGAAACTAATTCAGATTTTGCTTGCCAAACATCCACTCCAATCAAAATTGGGTTAGTGTTAAAACATAGCTAGAGGTGGTTTCAAGGTATTCTTAAAATTGTAGATGGCACATTCTTTCTTACTTGAAAAACCCAATTTGAGAATAGATGTCCTAAAAACATCACTTGTGGTTCATTCATACATACTGACAGGTCTTTAAATGCTGGGTAGACTTTTTGTAAAAGAGGCAAGTATGATTCCTCTTGATAGTTAAATGTATCTACCTTTGCTTTAATTATATTAATAAAGACTGCTACAGTTAGAAGGCAAGTGGAAATAGACAGCATTTTTCCTACAAAAATGCCCCTCAGAAGTCAAGACATTCTCAGGCACAGAAGGAGCCATTTACCCAGTTATTAATACTTACCAGTAAACTAGCTTCTCTGAAGAGTCACTTATCCCTGACAGCTGGTGGCTGCTTCCACCCTACCAGCAGAGTTCCGGAAAAGCTTTTTTAGTCCTTCGGATTTCTGGGAACACAACCCACAGTGGGGAAAGGCATATGCCTCTCTCTCCCTACCCCTGGAATGATGAAGACAGTCAAACAATCACAGATTCTTTGGATCAGAAGAGCCCCTAAGGGTTGTGGAGCCCAATTTAATACTTGAAACTTCTTTATATCTTGACTGTGGTGCCAACCTGTGCTTATTCTTTATCACAGCAACTTGTTTATTTCCTACGGAGCCCTTTTCACAATCTGTGATTCATCTGTCCTGCTTGTTTATTATCTGCCTCTGCCACTAGAACGTAAGCTCCATGAAGGCTGGCACCCATATGTCCTGCTCACTTCTCAGGTCTCTGGTACTTAGCACGCTGGTCAACAAATGTACGCCTCCACTAATGGCAATCACATCACCTCCTGAAGATTCCATTTTTGGACATGTCTGACCTTTAGGATGTTATTCCTTTTGTTGAGGTACAACCTAATACTTTGTATTTGTAACATTAACCTAATTCTAATATTAATTCTACTCCTACTTCTATCTTAGGCCCAAAGAGAACAAATCTAATCTTCTTTCTACCTGATTACTGTCTATGTATTTGAGAAGTTTTGAGATTCTTTCTCTATCTTCTCACTGTAACCTGGGAGCTTATGGTGGCAATACCAGCTTTCAAGAATGCTATTTCTTTAGAGGGAAAAATACCCTGGCCTGAAGCATGTGTTTTGCCAAAGATGGAATGGAACTGTCTCTACCAGCCTCATAAGTGATGAGACTAGATCATTAGGACAATGCTGGTGGGTGTAATTGTTGTGGAGTGCCATCGAGTCGATTTTGACTCATAGCAATCCTACATGACATAGTACAACTGTCCCATAGGGTTTCCTAGGCTGAAATCTTTAGGGGAGCAGAGCGGCTGGGTGGGTTCGAACCGCTGACCTTTTGGTTAGCAGCTGAGTACTTAACCATTGTGCCACCAGGGTACCTTGGTGGTGGAGAAGGGGGTATGTATAACAATGGTCAGATCAAGCTGATTGTCATGGGCCTTGGGAACAAAGAGAAAATGTTGGGTGTGGTCAATGCCCTAGGTAGACATAACAAGGTATAAGAAGCTGAAAATCTGGGGTTAGACTTGTAGCAACTATACCCTTAATGAGAGGAACACATGTCTCTCATTGATGAAGAAATCCTCTGGACCAAGAATGTTTTTCCAGAACAGCAATGGCAAAGAGAGCTACGATACCAGCTGGTGGGGAAGAATCAGTCCATCAATGTGTTATTTGGAGAATCAAACCTTCCCCATGTATCTAACATAACATTTTAGCTTTGGGTCTTCATGCTGCTATCCAATTTGGAGGATGTCAGCCTGTGGGGTAAAAAGTTATTAAAATGGGAATAAACAGAAGTGGCAGAATTCTCACTTCTTTTCTTGAGAAAATGCAGCAAAATGAGCAGAAATGAAACCTTTACCTTCTAAAATGTGCATCCTGACAAGTTCAGAACGATCTGGGCGGCTCCGAATCTTGTGTTTCAGAAAGTTTTCAGTCTTAAAAAAAAGAAGTCTTGTTATAAATTCTTTGATTATTGTAGTTTGAAAAATTTTCTCAAGGTTCTGTATTTAAATAAATTTTATACCCTTTTTGTCATGATTTTGAGAAGAGAATATATTAGTGCTTAGAGAAACTATTATCTGATACAGGATTTAAACTGCAGAATTCAAAATCTAACAGGTAAGTGAACTGTATGTTGGTGTAAAGTAAGGGCAAAGTCACAGGATAATTTTGAAGATGATTTTTGAACAGCCATAGGATCTGGATGATTGAAATAGCTAAAATCTTTAAAATATACACTTCAGTCAAAACTTATTTAGATGATAAAAAATTTCCTAAAAATCCTAATGTATTTTCTTTGATGAGCTCACATTCTTGCTTATATTTTCTTAATCAGAGCTATACTTGATTCTAAACACAGTTTTAACGTGGAGTTTACATTTTATAAGACACTAAGAGATCATTAATGGCATCTGGGGAAAATCCTGGATGTCATTAATAAGGAATTTCTAGGACATGCTTATTTCCACATTGCATAATGGAAGTTTTCCCCAAAACAAATAAATAAAATAAAAAGAATGAATATGCATAATGGCACTTTTAAAGGAAAATAATAAACACATTTCGAAGTACAACTATGGTGGAGCCATCTCAAAGAAAAAGCAGAGTCGAATAGAAGCAATATTCTTTTCATTTACCCAACTCTCCTACCCTTGGTCCAATGCACAGGTAACCTAAGCCCAGCAGGGAAGCCACCTAAGGACCTGGTGTCAGGACATCACTTGGACTGTCCCTCTACTGAGTAACAAATGGCAGAATGACCCCTTAATGCTTTTCCAGAAACTGTTCATGCCCTGAAGAGCAAGAAGATGAAGACACGTGATTTGTCCTTTACGGACAAAACTGTTACTGGTTTTGAAGAACAAAATTTGAATGTCATATATTTCCTACAAACCTCCAAGATAAAACTACCCCAGAATATATTACCCTATACGTCATATATCCCAAAAATGCACTATATTTGCTCTATCAACATATTTAGGAGTAAAGCTGCTACTTGTACACAGGGACTTTAGAATAAAAGAGGGAAGCAGAGAAGTAGAGTATCTTAAACTGAAATTTCTTACTCTGGCTCGTTCCAAGCTTTTTATCTGTTCATGGAATGCCGCTGGGCTCTTTAAAGCTGTAAGAGGAAAAAAAAAATCGTTTCCACAGTATAAATAGAGGAGTTAATACTTCAGTCAAATGTTACAGTAGATCATGCTGACATTTCCTCTTAATCTTGTTAGTCCACACCTACAGCTCCATTTATTTACTAGTTCCTTAAGGGAATCTACAAAATCTGGAATCTTAAATGTTACAGAATTAAAATGATGTCTTTCACAAATAAAATAAGTAAAAATTTAAAACAGAATTGTGTACATAATGACATTGCCAATATAAGGTCAGACTAGTTCCAACCAATAGTTGGGGCAAATTTTTATTACCAAGGGTACTGTTTGGTGATTCCTTGCTCTTAACGGCCATATAAGCTACCTGAAAAGGCTCACATGTCTAAGGAGTGATCTGACCTTAAACATGAGGACATACAGCACTGGATGTCCAACAGCTGAGTTACCATTTACTGAGAACTCACGATGTGCTTAGCCCTATGCTCAGTAGTCAATGACAGTTACATTGCTGTTAATCTTTACAACAATCTTGCAAAGTAGCTATTAGCCACTCTCCAAAAAGAAAAAAAACCGAACCCGTTGTCACTGAGTTGATTCCGACTCATGGCGACCGCGTGTGTTTCAGAGATGAATTGTGCTCCACAGGGTTTTCAATGGCTGTGATCTTTCGGAAGTAGACTGCTAGGCTTTTCTTCCAAAGTGCCTCTGGATGGACTTGAACCGTCAAGCTTTCAGTTAGCAGCCAAGCGCTTAACCACTTGCACCAGTACAGCTGAAGGGCTCAAAGAAGTTAAATAAATTCTTGAGGTCATATAACTAGGTGGTGGTCTAAGTGGGATTTAAATCTAGAAATTCTGAATTTGAAAGGTTCATGCTCCTTCTACTATATACCACTATGCAACTCACTCTAAAGACAGAGAGTCTTTAATATGTTAACTGCTAGTCCATTAAATATTTTTGAATCCCAGAATGAAATGTTTACCAAAACATCACCTACTACCATATTTCTACCAATTATCTTTACAAAATGGGGTGTGTGTGTGTATGTGTGTGTGTGTGTGCGTCCACATTGCCGGATAAGACACTGCACTTATAAACATGGGGAATCAGATGACCTGGATGGGATACAGGACTAGGCTTACTTGGGCTGTCACCTACAAGACTTGCCCAATCAGCTCTTGATCAGCATTATTCTCAGCTTTGGTGCTTGAGGCACTGCAAAGACTCCCAGGAGCCCAGCCCAATCAGCTTTGGCTGGGGACCAGTTCCCAAAAGCAGACTAGAGCTGGCTTGGCAGTGATGTCTTAACCATCACAATTTGATCCTGTTTGATTGGTTCACAGCTAGGAATGTGGTGGTGGAGAAACCTGGCAGATTATCAAAGCAGCTTTTGACTCTATCACAATGCTAGGTTTAAAATATTTAGTTACTCAATTAACAATAGCCGAGGAAAAAGAAAATCATTGGGAAAAAGATGTACTGCAGAGAAAAATCATTCCTTATCATAAACCAAGAAAAGGTAACAGAATGATTCAGAAGGTAGTATGGGAAGCATAAATTCATTTTGTAATTATTTTCTATTATTTAAAGCTGAGTAAGTTATTTCTTAGGGAAGTCAATCTCTAGACAAAACCCAGATAAATAATCCTAACAGCCTACACAAAACCACCACTCTTCCCCACCTCCAAGCCACCAAAAGGTAAAGAGGCAACTTGAACAAATATTCTGAAGTAATCAACTCTCAAAAATCTCTCATAGGAATGAATCCTAGGGCTACTGGAAAATATCTGTACTTGGCCAAGGAAGGTTTTATTAATTATAAATAGAATGTTTATAAGTTCTGTAACTGAGATACACTTAATTATATAGACTGTACTACAGCACCAATGATAACTAATTTTAACTCAGGAAGTTAAAATAGAACAAGGTTGTAAATCAATTTTATTATGTTACTTTTGCAAGTCTAGCTAATCTCAGATCCATTATGTAGAGTGATTACTTCAATTATTTTAAAACTAAAGCAAATATTGACGTTTGAAGTAAAACCGATGTTCGCCTAATTATACAGCTTTAAAGGTGTACTTTGTATAATATAAAATTCAAGTCCATCTTTTAAGTGGCATTTAAAAAAATAAATTCTAAGTGATTCTCTTAGGTTGGCAATGCTGATGCCTGATTTTTTTCTTATAAATTCATTTGGCAACTGTATATTGATTAAATGGATATAACACTGTATATTGATTAAATGGATACAACACTGTATATTGATTAAATGGATACAACTCAGAGTGGAGAGGAGTCCTGGTGGTGCAGTGGTTAAGCGCTCGGCTGCTAACCAAAAGGTCGGCAGTTGGAATCCACCAGCCGCTCCTTGGAAACCTTATGGAGCAGTCTTACTCTGTCCTGTAGGGTCACTATGAGTTGGAATCAACTCGATGACAACGGGTTTTGACAGTGGAGTGTGATAAAAGGCTCTTCTTGAAGATGTCCATCTTGTTACGTCACGTTAAAGATGCCAGTGGCGCTGCAGAACTTACGTGGCATGATGCCCTGGTCCACGAGCTGTTCTCTCGTCCTCCTTTGTTGCAGCCTCAGCTGGAGCACTGTCAAAGGAAACCACCACCGTTAGAGTGAATGGGCAGCTTGAGACACTGCAGAGAAGACACAATTCAGCTCTATTAAACATCTTCTATTTCATAATTGCACAGGAAGGCTATTATCTGGCAATACCCAAATTGTAAAAAGAAAATTACTTTGTGGTTTCTGTCTGTTTGGTGAACTCTGAAGTTTACTCAGTGTATTTTTGTATAGTTAGCTAAGAATCTTAATTTGATAAATAAAACTAAGTATTTCTTGTTTAAATACATTCAGATAGTACTCAGCAAATAAGTAAAAGTTGTTAGCTTATACAATAAGACTTTTTAATAAAGAAGAAATAGAAATGTCAGATTCCCTGACATTCTTTAGTTTGCTTTTTTAAAAACAAGTTAATAACAAAAACTTATTTTAAGAAAAGACTGACTTATTTGGAGGGACTTACTCCACTTTTAACAAATTTTAAATAGCTTTAATGAAGGTTAACTGAATAATAAAAATTAGATCTATGAAGTATTACTAATGACCCAAAGGAGCACTTCTAAGTTAAGAATTTAAAGTTTAATAACCTTTGCACAGACATAACACTGTATCTCATTCTACAAGTTCTAAGAAAGCCACAAACCAATTGACGCCTTATTTTAATAAAAAAGAGTAAATTTTCAGAACTGGTAGAGAACAGGGTATACATCACAAAATGTGAAAATCTAGTTTGCTGAATACCATAAAAAATAAACTTTTTCATAGATTTCTCAAAGCAAGTATTTTGTCTTTCCTTTTATAGCACCTATATTTTTAATTGAAAAATGAGTCTATTTCAAAAAAGAAGACAATATGAAGTAATTTTGAAAAACATTTTTCTTGCTTTACCTTACATTCAATTTTAAGTTTCCATTTTGATTTTTGTTTCTAACTATGGATGAAAACCAAAGTTATATTATTAAGAGTCTGCTTAAGGTTGTCAACATGCTAAAGAAATTACTTATGTATATTTCTTAAACTTCAGGCCAGTGCTAGGTGGGGAGGGAAGACAGAATTTTCTGGCCAGGGGGTGATGGCTGGAAGAGGCTGGCTCTGACTGGTCTCTTACCCAGGCTCGAATACAATGCACATGGCATCTCCTACTTGGAATAAAACCCCAAGACCAGAAGATGCAGCGACTGTGGCTCTCGTAACCCTTGTTTTTAGCTTGGCTTTGTGCTGAGTGCAGAGCAAAGCGGAGCAGAATCTTAGAAAGACTTCAGAAAGAGTCTAAACCGCAAAATGGCTATTAAACATATTCTCTTATTCATACTGCTAGATATGAATGACATCCCTTATTAATAATGGGTGTTTGTTTGTGGGGGGAGTGGGGTGCTTCCTTTGGGAGAAGCCCTGGTGGCGCAGTAGTTAAATGCGCAACTGTTAACCAAAAGGTCAGTGGTTCGAACCCATCAGCCGCTCTGTGGGAGAAAGACATGGCAGTCTGCTTCCATAAAGATCATAGCCTTGGAAACCCCATGTGCCCGTTCTACTCTGTCCTACAGGGTTGCTATGAGTCAGAATGGACTCCACGGCAATGGGTTTGGTTTTGGTCTTTTGGGGGCCACAGGGTCACAAAGCTTCACTGACAACCCCTTTAGAATGGAAGCAAATGATGTAAGATTCTGTTACACAAAGCAAAAGAAAAAATTAACGAATTAAAAAAAATATATGCAGGTTTCTCATATTAAAATGTTTTGTGATACTTTGAACCAATTGTGCTCTGACACAAAGATCTCTTCCCTGATAACTTGAAGTTTACTGGGGATAGTATGTTCCCACTGTACTTTACTAGGAACAAAAAATAACCAAGGAGATGACCTGTGGATCTGATAGCACCCAACTGCTTGCATACTCTAACAGAATCCCAAGAAAAGGAATACTGAGAGGAGAAAAGAGCTAGAACAATTCTCTAGTTCAAAGATGGATCCTTCTGGAATATGATGGTCCATATCTGTTGAAGAATTTCTAGCAGTAGTATCTTTCCTTTCTCCCAAGAGAGTCTTCAGAAAAAGGAGCGAAAAAGAAAGGGTAATGAAACATCAACAGCCTTCTTCTTTGGTTTAAAACAAACAAATCAACAACAACAACAAGAGCACCATAACTGTGAGACAAATGTATTAAACACAACACGCATTTATGCCTGAATGGCATCGGTGAATGTTGTTCACATTTGCAACAACTTGATTTGCAAGCCAATACTGATGACAATAGCTCAGTAGTCCTCGAAGCATCTCCTGACTGTACATTGGTCATTTCAGCTGCCCTCATACATTATGAGAGAAGCCCAGTCACCTATCTCATCTTTGATTAGAAATCACACTTTCATGCTAAAGGTATCTGCTACCACAGGGTAACACACAAAATGGACGTATGTCAACAATCACCAATTTTAAAAATAAAACAAAAACCAAACATAAACAGTACTCATCCAATTTATACATGGCAAAACAAAAACAAAAACCTACTTATGTCATCCTGCTTGAAGGCAGGAGAATAAGTTTCCCAATCAATGTCTCACCACTGCCTATATAATTTTCCCAAAAGCAAGAATGTCATGCTACAAGTATTATTCAAAGCAGCATGGCCATGAGCTTTTCCAAGTTACGTTCATTTATTTAGGGCACATCTATTAGTGCAGTGACTGTGTGCATGGTACTGTATGGATACAAACATGGGAAAAAGCAGTCGCAGTGTGAATGGAAGGTCATTAGGAAGAATTTGAGTGAAAGAGGAGTCAACACGTTAAGATTATCCAGATTGAACCTAACCAGGGAAGTAAAAGCCTTATACAAAGAAAGCTACAAAACACTACTGCAAGAAACCAAAAGAGAACTACATAAATGGAAGAACATACCATGCTCACGGATAGGAAGCCTTAACATTGTGAAAACGTCAATACAACTAATCTATAGATATAATGCAATCCCGATCCAGATTTCATCAACATTCTTTAAAGAGATGGAAAAACTAATCACCAATGTATACGGAAAAGAGACCCCAGATAAGCAAAGCACTACTGAAGAAAAACAACAAAGTAGGAGGTCTCAAACTTCCCAATCTCAGAACCTACTATATATCCATGGTAGTCAAAACAGCCTGCCTGGTACTGGTACAGCAGACACACAGATCAATGGAACAGAACTGAGAACCCAGAAGTAAAGTCATCCACCTATGGACAGCTGATCTTCAACAGAGGGCTAAAATCTATGAAATGGGGAAAAGGCAGTCTCTTCAATAAATGGTGCTGGCACAACTGGATATCCATTTGCAGAAAAATGAAACAGGATCCATACCTCACACCATACACAAAAACTAACTCAAGATGGATCAGAGATCTAAATGTAAAACCTAACACTATAAAGATCATGGAAGAAAAAGTAGGGGCAAAGCTAGGGGCCCTAATTTATGGCATAAATAGAGCATCAAGCATAACTAAAAATGTACAAACAGAAGATAAACCAGATGACTGGAACCTCCTAAAAATTAAACACTTATACCCATCAAAAGACTTCTCCAAAACAGTAAAGAAAGAACCTACAAACTGGGAAAAAAATTTTGGCAGCAACATATTTGACAAAGGACTAATCTCTAAAATTTATAGAAAACTTCAACATCTCAACAACAAAAAGACAATCCAATTAAAAAGTGGCCAAAGGGCATAAACAGATACTTCACCAAAGAAGACATGCAGATGGCCAACAAATACATTAAGAGATGCTCGCAATCATTAGCCATTAAGACCAAACCAAACCAACTGCCATCGAGTCAATTCTGACTCACACAGACCCTACAGAGAGACGCAAATCAAAACAACGAGATATCATCTCACCCTAGCAAAAATGACAATGATAAAAAAAAAACAGAAAATAACAAACGTTAGCAAGGGTGTGGGGAGATTGGAACTCTCATACACTGCTGATGGGATTGTAAAATGGTACAACCATTGTGGAAAATGGTATGGCACTTCCTTAAAAAGTAAGAAATAGAGATACCTTATGATCCAGCAATCCCACTACTAGGTATATACCCTAAAGAAATAAGAGCCGTGACACAAATAGATACATGCACACCCACACTTATTGCAGCATTATTCACAAGAGCAGAAAGATGGAAACAGCCTAAGTGCCATCAACAGACGAATGGATAAGCAAACTGTGGTACATACACACAACGGAATACTATGCAACATTAAAGAACAACGATGAATCCATGAAACATCTCATTAACATGGAAGAACCTGGAGGACATTATGCTGAGAGAAATAAATCAATCACAAAACGACAAATACTGCATGAGACCACTATTATAAAAAGTCAAGAAAAGGTTTACACATGGAAAGAAATATTCTTTAACGGTTACCAGGAATGGGAGGGGGAGGGAGGGAAGTCATTAACTAGACAGTAAACACATATTAACTTGGATGAAGGGAAAGGCAATATACAATAAAGCAGATGCCAGAATAACATGACTAAGGCAAAGGAAGACACTGGGAGGAATGCAAAAGTAAAAAGAAACAATGGTAAATACTATTACACGCAGAACCCTGCAATAACAGTAATAAACAATAATTTACATATTAGATATGTAAGCTGAACAGGTGTCGGATGGCATATGGTAGTACACCCACGAGCATACATAGATTTGGCAGAGAATGTTTCTACACAAGTTAAGTGTATGTGCTGCAAATATATCCATGTATATAATAGACCAGAGCCCTGGTGGCACAGTGGTTAAGAGCTACAGCTGCTAACCAAGAGGCTGGCAGTTTTAATCTACCAGCTGCTCCTTGGATACCCTATGGGGCAGCCCTACTCTGTCCTATAAGGTCGCTATGAGTCAGAATTGACTTGAAGGAAACAGGTTTGGTTTTTTTTTTTTTTTTTTAATATAGTAGAGCATACAGGGGACGAAGTTATGAAAACTTCTTAGCTATAACCAAACACCTTGAGGCACTGGCTTTGAGGGCTTAGGACCATAATTTCAG